GGGCGGGTCTCTGTAATTCGAGTTATCAACTCAGTGCACCTTGACCCACTTTTTCTGGATTTCGGGCTGTTCTATAACCGTACTCGAAATTTTCGCCGTCTGCCCCGCCCAGTACGGGTGGAGCTCCGCCTAGCTGGTATGTGTTCTGTACTTCTTAGCCAATGCCCTACCCATCCCAAACTTGACCCCGACCCTGTGTGCAGTTCTTCAGATAGTACCTAATTCCGGGACAGACGGAGAAACACATAGACAGACATCATGTACCGGGAGGGGCGTGAAAAAAGTCACTTTGCCCATGGCGCACATCATCAAATTTTTCGTCGCACAGGATGCCGTTGTTGATGAATGTTTTACGGCAGAATATTCCTTAGGTGTCCCCAAAGCAGAAGCAGGCCCTCCTTCACTGCCCCCACCGTCTTCAGAATATGACGTCATCTGCCGTCACCGTCGAGCTCAACGAGGCTTACCGTAATCGCTCCGGCCTGAAGCTGCTACATAATTTCTTCAATCGATTAACTGGTGAATAGCTTCTAAGAGACACTAGCTGTGACTGTGCAAGACCGCTTTTGACCAGCGTTTCAGGGACGTCGTAATGGTCTATGGTACCTCGACGACCTCGTTGAGCTCGTACCGTGAACCATGTTTCCGTGGGAAAATCTTCTGATGTCGTCGGTGTAGAAGGCTGTTATAACTTTTTGATAGATTAGAATGTGCTCTTTAATATACAGTTAAGGTCATTTGGTTTGGTTTTGCATCGTGTATATAAATCCGTTTTGAATGTAGAGGAAGTGACTAAACACTTGTCACGTTTTACTTGCCGTGGGCTCGCTGCTCCAAATATCCCCTCCCTTCCCAAGAACCTAAGCACCGCAAACTCTCCTAATGGATGTGAGTCAATTAGCATTCAGTACCTAGGAGCAGCAAATTGGTGGTTTACTCACGTCTCTCAGCACGGACAACACTTGCTCGTCGGTAAATCCGGAGAGGTGACCTTCACGCGTAATTCGCCGAATCATTCGATCGACTAGTGCAGGCATAGATGCTTTCTGGAAATATGAGTAATGATATTTCACCTCACTTCAACAAAAATACAAGAAGATATAGCCTGGAAATTAAGGTGGGTATTTTAATAGGCTTGTCGACTTCATAATGTGATGAGGAAAAAGTTGTACATGTAAAAAAAGTCGAACTGAAATTTGGACATCAGAACTCTCCTTATGATAGCATCCTAATGATTGCCACGTGCGGATCAGCTAAACGATCATACTCTTCGCAATAGCTATATACCAAACCTTCCTTAATTTCAAATGATCATTCTAACAACGACACCTTCGGAGCTTTTCAATCTCTATGATTTGCGGCACCAGGGACAAAGAAACCGTCGCCAATATCACCTGCGATTGGGAAGAACACCACGTCCATCTCGTCTGCTCCAAAAGAGACACGTTTCTAGAAAAGCCAAGGTGGAACACCCCCACTGAATGCAAAACCCCATTCTCCGACGCAGTCAAGAGGAGCTCAAGCTACACTTCGCACATAGCGACAAGACTTGTTAACACCGGCCAATAGAACGGGCGTGGTCCCTCCAACGCCGCGCTACAGGAAAGTCCACCCGATGCCCCTCATATCTTGACCGACACCGCGGTTCAACCAGGCGACTCCATTTGTAATCCTCTCCCCATGTCGCACCGGAACGAATTCATGGGAAGAATCACGGGGGAACTCAGGCTCAAGATTCTAACAACACCGTGCCGGGTGGACTCAACCATGAGAAACCGCCACGCACCAACATAAAGGACCTACCCAAAAAAGTCTCCAGCCTTGGATTCTTGTTAAAGATATACGAGCTACTCTTACCAAATCAACCGCCACCAAGCAACATTTAGCGCCAATCATTCTAAAAACATAACAGATGTATCGGGAAAAAACCGTACCAGAGACGACACGTTTTGTTGACGCCCTCCCACATACACAAGGCCCTATTTAGCTACAAGAAACCGTAGCAAAATCGGGAAGCGGGGGCTGTGCCACGTCCCCCTCTACCCTATCCCCAGACATCGCCCTCTGACTATTCCTTATTTTCGCACCCCCTAGGGCACTTAGCGAAAAAAGAATCCACCAACTTGGAGACGTCGAACGGCGGCCCAACGACTTACATATATACTGCCCTCCCTCCAATTTTGAGAAGTGCATCACTGACTCTGTCCTTATGGGCACGGCAGTGAGTAACAATAGTGTCATATTGTTGAATAAATCAAATTCTGCGTTGAACAAAAAATAAAGCAAAAAATGTGAAAGGCCAGGACTTTCTTACCATCCCGATATGAATGACAATGAGACGCGGCAGAGTTGGAATATGAGATTGTGTATGTGGGGAGACGTAGCTATCGTCAAGCCGTCCGCATAGTACCGGTGCAATAAGTTTTGATACATTTTTCCCTGAAGTTTTATATTCTGCGTGCACATGAGCTCATGTCGAATACCATCGTGATGATGCAGGCCAGGAAGATCAAGTACGACGTCATCGAATTGACCGAGACGAGAAGGCACCGTCCGCTACACGCCGTTTTCGATAATGGAGAAGAACTGTTCTTTGGAACATGCGACAGGAGAGCGTGGTGGTGGGTCCCGTCAACACGCCCGTGACCAAAACATCGAATCGCACAAATCTACACCCAATACGAATGGTTGAGATCAGAAGAATGTGTGCAACTCTGCTTGACAATCTCGTGCACTTACGGTTCACCAACATCCTACGACGAAGAAGAATACCTAAGCATTCATATACGAAGAGAAGTTCCACAGCGCAAACTCATACGTTCTCAAGCATCGCGAAACTTCCAACGCTAAGATTGGCCCAAGAAGAACGGCTGAAGAACTTCACATCGGTACTCACGGAATGGAATGGAATGAGCAGGGTGAGAGACTGTCGGAGTTTATCATGTCGACCAACACCATCCATGGTAACTCACAGTTCCAAAAGCCCCCTCACCTTCGTTGGACTTGGGAGTCACCTGATGGACAGTTCCATAACGAGATAGACCACATCATCTTCAATCGAAGGTTTTGCCTGACCGACGTCGCTGTTGTTCCAAGTTACACGAGTCGACCATCGCTCCTCGCAAGATTTTCCCTCTGAGCGGTTGAGAGCAACAAAGTTTAGGAAGGGAAGCCACAGGGCAGTTATTAAGTGGGACCACTTCTCTTCTCTGGCCAGCTCATGGGAGAATTCCGTCAATGAAAGCATCGACGTGGAATACCATCGGCTCGTTGAACATTATCATGAAGAGAAAAAGAAGGCAGAGAGTTTGAAAGTCACAGGACGTCTGTCTACTGAAACTCTTGAGCTGATACGCCAACATGAGCCGCACGAGCTGCAGGCAATCACCGACTCACGTCCGAGCTTGCGAAGCTATGCAGAGAGGCGATAAAGGAAGATCTCAAGGAAAGAACAGCATAAGCAGCAGAACACTGAAGGAGCAGCATCCGCAATGCCCGCCGAAGCTTTGCCAGCTACAAGACCAAGATGACCTGCCTCCGACGTCCGGATGGAACAGTTACTGCATCCCGAAGGGCAATGGAGAAAGTCATCCACGACTTCTACTCGGATCTCTTCGATAGCCATGTCCATCTGCCTACTTATCAACTGCAACAGGATGGATACGTCGTCCCTCAGTTCTCTCTTCCGAAGTCCGACATGCCATCAAGTCGGTTAACACGTTGACGACAACGTGACGCGGTAACGCGTCCCACTTTGCGCACCTCGTGGGACATTGTGACGCGGTAACGCGTCCCACCCAAGTCATCCCCTTTTCTTGCGCTTCGCCCGATCGCCGGTGGCGATTGGGCGAAGATGAGAAGAGGAAGTACGTCGACTCTTCCAAACCCTACTAGTGTTTGATCTCGATGTAGAAATTATATGCTTTCATAGCTTTCTTGACCTCCGTTGAATACTGCACCTCTGGAATAATCGCCCTGCATTAGTTGTTAAGTTCAAGAAGACACCCGACGTATACAATTGCCCTCGGCTTTTGCTTTTGAAATATGACATCGAACTTCATAGGATTGTGTCATGTCGAACAACGGTGATAACATTTCCGAGCCAGGTAAGCAGAGTCAGCACAAAGTACTGGCACTTGTCGATACGGACATAGGAGCCATAAGCAAATATCCTTCAAAACAAGACTCTCAGGTTGACGCAGTTTGAATAAGCGGTTAGTGGCGGCGACGTCGTCCAGGTACGCAGCAACGCCGCTGAGTCAAGAAATCATGCCAATGATGTGCGAAAGATACCTGGTGCTGGCACGGCTCCATGCAAATGTGCACAGCGTAAAGCTCTCGATTTTGCTACTTTCCTAGTGAGACTATCGCTCGGGCACTCTTGAGCTTATGAGGGTCGATGTTTGACAAACAACGTGGAATAATAAGGGAAAACCCATTCAGCTATTTTTTTCTCCTAGCAAAAGATGGCAAGGTTACCAAGCTGCTCCAGCAGTTCGATCAATGAAAAAAGCAAAGCTGATAAAAGTTCCCGCCATGAGGACCGATAATTCACCCTTCGTCAGTATGTGGTCTACATCCGACAGCACAAGTGTAATGGAGCGTTCATAGTTGGCGATCGTACGTGCGATTAGGCGATTAGGCGATGATTCAAAAAGAAAAGTATACGTATCGATTAGGCGATTAGGCGAGTAGGCGAGTAGGCGAGTAGGCGATGAGGCGGGTATTTGATTTGTTGCTCCGCCCATGATGCTAATTGATATCGCTAATTTAATTTTACTTTGCCAAATCGTTTACGGGCGGAGCAAAACAACAACCGTAATGTATGTTGCTCGCCTGTGCGCGATGCCTATCGCGCAATAGCTGAATCTTATTTTGCCATTATGCGATAATGGTACTCCTAATCGCCCAATCGGCGCGAGCGGCATCTGACCTCCATGTCCAGCTCAGTTTGCCAGAAGTTGCTGCGGTACGAATGGTTATCACGACTTCATTTATGAATGCATTTAGAAAATTATGCAGCTGCACTTATTGCAGCTGCCCCCGAGGTACGTGCGCGGTGCCGATGAGAATTAATTAGTATGGGGAATGCGAGTAGAGGTGCTTTTAGGATGTGTTACATCTACGAGTCATGTGATGAACTGATCCATCTGCATAACCTTCACTCACGACAAAAGTTGTATGCCAACGTTCGTTGCTGCTTTAGCTTGGCACCAAATTGTGTACATCACAAAGAGCATGCCAAACGACTAGCAGTCCGTCATCTATTAGTACTGGCGATCACGTCTCAGACACACCACAACTTGATGCGAAAAAGATCTATACAAGATTATGCAGTATTTTTGCTTGCTAGTGTTCTCTTAATTAGGTCGCAACGTTATTATATTTACTCAAAAAGCTTACTTGTTTTTATATTACTTTACTTTGTTCTATTACTATGCTGGATCAAACATTACTCCCAGAAATCAAAAGCTGTCTTATAAAAGCAATTACTTACAGGAACCAAAGATTTGTGTTTGAGTGATTGCATTATGGACCGTTAGTACGAAACGAAGGTCTCACACCACCTTCGTGCGTTAGTACAGTAGTATGAATTGACCTCACCCCACCGAGCTTCACGGTAGGAGGGTCGTAGAAGGGTTTGGTGAGCACCCTTATCGGGGATCTTCATGAAATTAGCAGCTGCAGCCAAAAGCGGTCGCATATTTTGGCTGTGCTTCGATTGACACATTGGGGATAGCGCGAGGGATATATTAGGTATAACCACGCGAGCGGTCCGGGGATCAAATCCTGGGTCGTGAGTCGCCCGGGCCAACCAAGCCTTCCATCCCTCCGGGGTCGGTTAATTGGTACCAGACTTGTCTGGGAGGATAAAAAAAACACTGACTTGTACATCGGCTGGCCCCCGCAAGTCATTATAGGCATCTCAAAAGGGATAGATCAACAGCAGAAGCTTTATATCCTTTTATCACGCTTTGCAGGCCACGTCTGATACCACGAGACTTCATTAGTATAAAAAGGGTTATTGATAACTTTCTAATGCTTTCTGGGCAACTTCGCCCACCTCGCTGCGCGCTCCACCCACTGATAGCATATGACCTCCGTTCGTTTTGAAGACTTTCCCTTTTTCCCGGTCTCCAGGACTTCTTGTAACCGAGTTGTGATGTTGTGGATAAGTCCGCCCATTCCGGTGCACGCCTCACCCACCTATAGTCGTTGATCTCCCTTCCGTTGTCGGACCCTAATCACTATATTTCCCCCTCTCAGCTACTTCTTGGTACCGAGTTATGATGTCTCGTGGCAAACTCCACCCACCTCAGAGCACGCTCCATCCACCAATAGCAGCCAATATCCGTTTCCCGCCAATCTCTACCCAGTTTTTTTTCCGGTCCATGGAACTTTTCGAACTGAATTATGAGAACTTGTAATAAATACTCCCCACTTGAGGACACGCTCGCCCACTCTCCACCATGCAGTTTAGGTGTGCCGAGACACCTTAGATATTGCTCGCCTAAATCGATTTTTTTCTGCTCCATAGGCGTTTTCCTAAGCGAGTTATGAATTTTTCCATTAGGCTCCGCCCATTCGAAAAACGCTCCGTCTACTTGGGCAGGTTCTCCAAATTTGACTTACCAACTCACAGCACACCTTTACCCATTTTTTCCCTTCGGGCTGTTCTGTAACTGAACTCGAATTTTTTGCCGTTGGCACCTCCCAATTTGGCGCGTGCCAAGCCCAGCCGATATGCGTCTTGCACTTCTTGACCCACGCCCCATCCATCCCAAACTTGGCCCGGATTTGGTAGGTAGTCCTTCAGGGAATGCTGAATGTCGTGACATACACACAGCACGAAGCCGCTGATAGCTTCTATAAGTGGGGATGTTCGCCAGTACATGCAGCTGGATACATGACGACAAGGACCACCATTCGGGTAATGCCCGTAGATTTGAGTATAGCAAGCACGGGTGAAACACAGATTTGTAGGTAGACAAACTGACAGACACACAAACAAACGACCACACCAAACTTGGTTCAGTGCTTAGATTTGGTTCATGGCATGGGCTGTTTCACATAGGAAAGTATCAGTAAAGAATACAGATATGTTGAAATGCTGCATGTTTATGGCTGCTCTTAGAATGTTTCTCCAGATGCTACCGCTGATAAGTGGGAGCATATAAAGGGGAACAGGAAAACTGTCGAGCTGCTATGCAGTGCATGCATTTTTTTGCCATGAGCTCCTGATTGTGGCTGGCCTATGTAGATTTTTTCTCAACAACGGATTGGTGCCTTTTCTATTTTGCCCCAGAAGAGCTTTCGTACCAATTGATGGTCACCCATTAGTCATAGACATGTGGTCAGTCTGGGAGGGGGGTTGTGGTTTGGCTTGTATAAGGCGGAAGTTAAACCTTGCGCAAACATGCAAGAAGTACGGTGCAAGTGAGGCTGGAACTCAACTCCGTTAGACGCAATACAAGCACCCTCCCCCCCCCCCCAATTTCAAACGTTCTGCAAATGGCATTCCGCACCTATCTTCTTTATGTCTATTCTAACAACTAATGGTTTGCTCTTTGCTAAGATGACGGCCTTAAACTGGAACCTAACAAATCGTCTTACACAACTGGAACATGCTCACGACATCGTTCATATGAGCGCACTCTCACTTCTGGGCTCCTATGCTACCCTTCTTCCAAGAGTAGAGAAACGACAATACCCTCAATTTATTTCTTTTTGTGAATCAGCTCTGTACCATGTTTTAGCTTTTACATAACTTACAAATAGTGTCTTTCTTAAGGCAATTCTGGTTGAGACTAAAATATGTTTCAAGGGATTTGTGCTTTCCCTGGGGCCGTATCATATCGTTCTCCAGGCTAGAGGAACAAATAACCCTTTCGAAATTCATCTATTACTTTACTTACAATGGACGCGCTCCCGAAATCTAGCAGGGAAATATTTAGAGCAGAGTATTTGATTAGTGAATCAAATTAATAACTAATCTGGAAATTTTCTTGGCCTTTCCTGCAGAAATCGCCCTGAGTGCATTTGTAATGTAGGTGTGTGAAAGCAAGCAGGTGCGGAAATGAAGGGAACTGTGTCGTTGAAAACGAATAAATTCAGACTTGTTCCTCTAGCCTGGGCAAGGATAGGATACGGCCCCTGCTCTGGGGAAGAACTGTACCTGGCCCCATATTCTCTTCTCATTATGTGATAAAATAGGGGTGCTAACTTATGGTTAGTTGGGGGGGACCATGCGGCGGCGCGGCGCCCTGTTCGTCTGCTC